GGCCCCCGTCTCACTGGGGGGAGGCCCCCTCGCACAGACCCGGGGACCCCGTCACTGGGGGGAGGCCCCCTCGCACAGACCCGGGGACCCGTCACTGGGGGGAGGGTTCCCCTCACACAGACCCTGCCCCGGGCCCCCGTCTCACTGGGGGGAGGCCCCCTCGCACAGACCCGGGGACCCCGTCACTGGGGGGGGCCCTCACACAGACCCTGGGACCCCGTCACTGGGGGGGGCCCTCACACAGACCCGGGGACCCCGTCACTGGGGGGGGCCTCTCTCCCCCAACGGGGGCGGGGAGACTCCATTCCTGACACGGACCTTGCCCCGCCCCCCTTCACTGGGGAGGGAAAGCGCCTCACACAGACCCTCCCCCCCTCCGCACTAGGATAGGGATTTAGGCTCCATCATGCAAATGCTGTGCAGAATTTAAAATTAATGCTTCCTACCACTTGACAGCAGGGATGCCAGACAGTTACAGCACTTATTTGGTGTAACTTATGGTTTGCAAGGTACCATCTTTGAAAGCAGTCACCAGCAGGATGCGGTAGCATTGCTTTGCTTTGGTGCTGAGTGCCTACTGAAGGGCTTGCCTACTTAAACTGGTTTATTCCTTGCTTCAATCGCTTTAGCTTGTGTGGAATTAAGCTCACGTGATTTTAAGTGAGGGTTAAACCAGTTTAAGCGCATCTCCAGTAGGGGCTTGCACTGGTTTTAATTGGACTGATTTAAAATCAGGGTAGGTAAACTGGGATGAAGGACTGAATATAGCAAGTTCAGCACTCCAGCCAGTTTAATTTTCACTCTGTCAGTCTGGTCGACTTTCCTGATTTTATTGCAAGTCTTGTGATACTTGATATTTTACTTAAAGGCCCAGGTCCTGGGGATAAGTGATTATGTGAGAATCTCACTTTTTTGTTTGTTTGTTAAAAAGTAAATTTATGATTTTGCAGAAAAGCTTGAAAATGTGTCCTATGTGTGTGCTCTAAAAGCTCAGAAACCAGAAGGCAAATAAAAAGAATGCAAAACTCTTTTTTTTTATCATGATTTTTTTCAAGTCAAGCTCATGATTTTGGGAGCCCTGACTCATCATTTTTTTTAATGTCGGGGTTGGCAATACTGCAGGGTTCCATCAAGTTTCAAAACATTAGTTCACTGTTTCTGCAAGAATCATATGCAATGGAACACTTATGGTGACTTTGTTATATGAGAGTCTGTTCATAGAAAAGTTGGATTCAAGTCCTGAATTGTTTGAATGCACTGCCCTGTGTAAATTGCATTACCAGCTATAGTCAAGGCTTCAAGTGCTCTGTATCAAGCTTGACCTAAATTGTGCAGCCAGTTCTCGTACTTTCTATAATGCTCTGGTGCAAATGACTGGAAATTCACTATTTTCAGGTAGGTTAAAAAATGGAAACATTTGATAAATATGAAAATGAATAATCAGCACAATAACTCTTCTGTGATTTAATTTAACATTAAATCCAGTTCATTTTATGTTGTCTCCAAACATTCCCTTTTCAGTGTGCTGCACAATTTTATACAGAAAACATATCTACACTGTATGAAACTCTATAGGAGTAAGTCTTAAGCCTACTAGTCAACCACCTATGTAGCCAGGCCAGATATTGAATAGATATGCAGGGAGATGGGAGAGGAGTCCTGAAGCAGCTACAGAGTTGCTCCATGGAAGCTGTTGAATCCTTATGGCTGCACTAGTCTTTGCAGCTCTTCTTATTGCATCCACTAGCTTGCGGGGTGGAACTCTACAGGAATCTATGTAACTAGTAAATCTTCCTGTCCTGAGCCCACTCTACCCATGCCCCTCCTTGACCTTTTCCTCTGTACAGTTGCACTATAGGGAGTCCCCACAATCACTAGCTGGACTGACAAGAGATCCTCTGTGGCCATGAAGGTAGCAGTAGGATTTCCCTCATAGATAAGTGGTTTTGGGGGTGGAGAATGACTTTGCTATAAGGGGAGCCAACTATAGAGAGAGTACATTTGATGGTGGGTATTGGATTGCTAATTTTATCTTTATTGCTGACCTTCCTGACGTTCACTTACATACCAGTACAGTATTCTCCATTCCTTTCCTCCTCCTCTCCTTTTTTTTTCCTAGGCAGGGCTTATAACTTATGAGAATCCAAGCTACCAGACAGTGTGATTTGACACAGAGTTTCTTCCCCATATTGTCCCATCTTGGAAAGAGGATCTTCATTGGCAATGAGTCTCCTTAGCTTAGTGTACCATTGCTGGCATGTGGATATTGGATCAGCCTAGGAATTGCTGAGATATCACAGGACCCCCATAAATGCAGTTTTGAATAGTCCTTTGTGTTGATTTGATGCTAAAGCTGCCCTCACTCTGCACATTAGGAAAAGCAGATTTGCCGGACCTTAAATTTATCTTCTTAAAGTTACACAGTGTCCAGCTATTTCCTATTGTGCAGCTTTGGCCAATATTTTTATTTTTCTCTCCAGACTCAGACAGGCCATCTCTCTCCAGTACAATAAATGCAATGGATCCAGTGGTTGTTCAGCACTTGTGTTTCAAACATCATTATTTATTTACATTTTCCATTTCCTCATTGCTTTTAGGTTCATATTTCACCAAGCTCACAGAAGTTAAAAGCACATGCATATTGGTCTCCTTTTCCCTGCTCAGTGTGAAGAGTTTTAACACACAGTAATAGGCATTTCTTACAAATTAGTTATTTAATGTCAATGTGTTGATTTGAGACTGACAACTTTATAACCTGCGAATGTTTGGAAAATGAAAAAAACCCCAAAAGTGATCTATTTGGAAGGCTGGGAGCAGCTATTATTAACTATGCAAATAGGGGCCTAGATCTTAGTTGCAACTGAGGAGCATGCAGAGTAAGTTGGGAGTTGGCAAAAGTGGCTTTAAGCCACCTTTGTGCTCCCAAAATCCTGGGCCAGCTCTGTATTGGCCCTATCCCCAAACATAAATTAGGGCAGCCAGGGATTAACAGATCCATGGCTACAGCATCCCCATGTCCTTTTCCCCTGGGCTCACCCCCACATCGGCCGCAGAGGAAGGGATCATGTAGGAGCCCTAATGTCAACTACATCCCCAGAGGATCCCTCTATACTGAGAAGATCCTATTCTGGCTAACCATGCCAACTTTTAGGGTTGCTTTGTGCCAATGATGAAGTATGAAGCACAGCTCTCAATCTGACCCAAAAATCTAAAGAAATATGGGTATGTCTACACCCAGCCGCTAGTTCGGTGGCTGGGAATCGAAGTTCTGGGTTCGACTTATCGCGTCTTGTCTGGACGCGATAAGTCGAACCAGGAAGTGCTCGCCGTCGACTGCAGTACTCCAGCTAGACGAGAGGAGTACCGCGGAGTCGACGGGGGAGTCTGCCTGCCGCGTGTGGACCGAGGTAAGTTCGAACTAAGGTACTTCGAACTTCAGCTACGTTATTCACGTAGCTGAAGTTGCGTACCTTAGTTCAAATTGGGGGGTAAGTGTAGACCAAGCCATAGTCACATTTTAATTTAAATGTTAGTTATTAAGATTGGATTATGTTACCAGCTTTATCATGAACATAAGAGCAAAACTAGTTACCCAAACTGTCCAATACTCACTTTTAAGGTCAGCAGCTGAATTTATAACTCACATTACCCCAAACAGGCTTTCTTATAATAAACAAAATGATGGGTTGTCTTGACAATATCAAATTTTCTCCTCTGCAATGGGTCTCTTTATTGTTTTCCCATGGCCCAACAGTAATTTAATGAAAAGCATTAACAGAAAATCAAATATCCACATGATTAATAGGAA